GCCGCGGAGCACAGGCTCCGGACGCGCAGGCCTAGCGGCCATGGCTCACGGGCCCAGCAGCTCCGCGGCACGTGGGATCCTCCCGGACCGGGGCACGAACCCGCGTCCCTCTGCATCGGCAGGCGGACTCCCAACCACTGCACCACCAGGGAAGCCCTGATATGCGGTTTTTACTTGCAACACAGTCCTAAGAGGACAAACCCAGCCCAAACCCTTCCTTTCTTCCTTTAGGTAAAGCACTAAGAATGAGGCAGAGGTGAGGGTCAGCACGTGGGGAGGGGGCGTGGAGTAATCCCTTGCATGAATGACAGCACCTCTGTCTTCCTCCACAAGGAGGGATGCAGCTGCTTGGGCTGCAGCGTCCTTCAGCAGACAGAAATCCCCGAGCCCCAAGGGCAGGTCAGAGGTCAGTGCTGACTGGAACCCAAGGACGGGGCTTGCCAGGTGGTTGCCCCTCAGTCCTTCCCGGTCTTTAATGCAGAGGTTCTCAAACATGTAACGGGGTCTTAGGACCCCTCTAGCTATTATACGAGTTACATTTATCAATATCTGCCATGCTAGAAATTAAAACTGGGACAGGTTTACAACATAAGAATACTCAAGCACACAAGCCATGCCTGAATGATGACATCGTCATACTCTGATGTCACTCTTGTGAGAATAAGAAGAAAAAAGGCAAATAATGTGTTAATAGTACCTGCTTTGCCCTTACGAACCCTTTGAAAAAACTCTGAGAACCACTGCTGTAATGCAGTCCCCAGATCCCCGGCCTATGACTTCTTTTAAAAAGTCTATTGTATTGAAGAAAATATCAACACATCATTTTAATTAACCATCCATACATTCATCTCTTTATTTGCTCTTTTTTTTTTTTTTGCGGTACGCGGGCCTCTCACTGCTGTGGCCTCTCCCGTTGTGGAGCACAGGCTCCGGACGCGCAGGCTCAGCGGCCATGGCTCACGGGCCCAGCCGCTCCGCGGCATGTGGGATCTTCCCAGACCGGGGCACGAACCTGTGTCCCCTGCAACGGCAGGCGGACTCTCAACCACTGCGCCACCAGGGAAGCCCCTATATGCTCTTTTTGACAAACACTTAATGAAGACCTATGAATAAGGAAGGCATCTGCCAAAATTACACTATGAAAAAAATGCAAGATGGCAGAATATCATCTGATGTTAGAGCAAAAAGGATGGACTTTAAAATGGTATCAAAGACCAAAGCATTACTAGGTTTCAAAGATGTGGAGACATCAACAAAGCACCAACAGCCTTACTCTAAATGAAGTGGCAGAGAATACAGTACCTAAGACCCAGCACTCAACACTGGGGACCAGGCAGGAAGCCCCCCAGGGCAAGCACAGGGCAGAGCTCTGACGCTGGCCCAATTCTTGCTGACCCTGTGTGGGCAGTTCTTCCTGGCATGGGGATGTGTCATAACAAGCTGTTTACTGAGTGCCAGAGGGGCCACATTCTCCTCCAGGTCCACCAAACAGGGAAAACACTAAGTTTCACAGAACGTAGACCAAAGGCAGGGAGAGGCAGAAAACGGAACTGTAGTAATTTCTGAGATGACATCAGCCTCATGCCCCAAACTAAATACACCGATGCGGGTGCCCTTCACGCCTTAGGAAGGGGAAGAGGTGCTGGGGACATGATCTTATAATTAAAGACGCGACCCCGTCACCTATGTTTTGAAGAAAGCCAACACCACACTTGAACACAGGACGGCTCTGTACTTACCCGCACAGATTGCGGCGATGAGGCCCTTCCTCTTTTCTTGTTCCTTCAGTATCTCCTTCACAGCAGAGGACTGTCAAAGAAAACCAAAAACACAGCAAGTTGTCATTAAGCTGCAGCCAATCTCTGGCTGGCAACTGTGGCAGAATCTGATTTTAGCTTAAACCACAAGGTCTTCTATCTATTTTTCAACAATACTGCCACATCGTCAATATAAAAACTACCAAATTCGTAGTGTTTCTACATCCTTAAACCCAATCAAGGCATTTATTATAAGAAAAAGGTACCCTTTTCTTAAAGATGTTTAAAGATAAGAAAAGCAATTTCCCTTAGGCATATTAACCCTTGCCATTTTGTACTCTAGGGAGAAAGACACAGAAGGGAGGAAATGTGCTGTTTTGGGTGTTTTCCGACAGCAAAGCAGGGAGTGGAGCTAAGCAGTCCCAAATGCCTGATTCAACCTGCCTCAGGAGCTTCTGTGCGCCCTGCCCCTGCCACCCCTCGCTCTTCCTTCTGCAGGCTAACTCTTCACACAAGACAAAAAGCAGCAGCAGCGGCTTCTTTTATGCCATTTTTCATTCAAGCTGGCAGCTCCAGCCCCCTGCAACCTCCCTAACCCCGATGGTTGAGTAGACAGCCGATCTCTTATCTTATAGGCTTAACCCTTCTCACAAGCACAAAACTAATCATTCTGTTGCGGTTGGGGGAAAAAAACAAGTAGTCTTACGTTTGAACTGTATTCACAGAATCTGTTCATAACTGTTTCACCAATTCCGCTTACTTCTATAGTAAATGTTATTAGAAACTTTTTAAAAAAATTAAGCTAGAACAGCACTTTGTTAATTTCACCTTTTCCTAATCTATTCACAGCCTCCTTCCTGAAATATTTCAGCAGCAAACCCAGCAGAATACGAGAGGCTGAAGCCCCCCAGCTTTACCTGGGATAAATTCTGTGCGCCCAGACCACCTCCTGGCATAACCACCACATCGTAAGGTCCCTGTAACAGTTCAAAAAATGAAAAAGGACGTGAAAATGTTTCACTTGAAGTGTGCATTAAGCAGGAACACTTTCACATCAGAGCAAAAAGCTGTTCACAGAAGAACAGTTAAATTAGGAGTTTCCCTATAACGGGATATTGTAACTAGTAAAAACTGCAGAAAATCTGTATACAGTAACATGAAACGATGTCCATGCTGCAGAACTGCAGGCGTATCATGATCTCATTCCTGTACAAAGAATAAATATACACACGCATGTAGATTCATGTGTGTACACACCTCTCAATGCCCCCACATACATGTGTACAGTATACAGACACTCATGGACAAAGGAGATCGCCAACTGAGGCAGGGTTGGGGGAGGGTGAGAACAAGAAAGGGACATTTAGCATTTGACCCTGCGTTTGTCTACACTGCGTGAATTGTTTTCAACGAGAATGTACATAGTAATAAATAACTAAAAACAAAACAAACTCTAAAAGGCACAAAAAGTTTTTCTTAACCTTATGAAAAATGGAACTTGGAGGATAAAAATGATGTAATATTTTAGTATCCCAGGTACCAAAACACCCTAGAAGTCTAATGATTTCAAACTTGCTGAAATTACAAATAGAAATTGGTTTAATACAGTATCTTAAATTGTTAAAAGCTTTGAAAATTTAGTCATTAAGCAAATGAAATGAAAATCTACATTTTTAGTCCGACATATAACATTTAGAGTTACTTTTAAAGACTATAAAATGTCCTGTGTTGTTTGAAAACCAAGCAAAACTTCGAACAATATTTGTGGAGTACGGATTTTTTTCACGCCTTTTAGAAACTGAACTAAACAATAAAGAGACACAAGATGTCACCTGTTCTAAAACACCCAGACACCACAGGACAAAAAGGAACAGGGAAGGAATACTTACTCCTACTCTCTCATTTTTAACCTGCTATTTAGAAAGTTTCAACAATTTATGTGAAATACCAATATTCTTACACTCCACAGTCTAGCAAATAAATCTGAAATAACTGGATTTATTAGAAAGGAATACACTTTTTTCTATGCATTTGAGAGTGAGGCATAGGGAAATCAGGCTCCAGGTTCCCCAGGAGGGCAGAGATGGCCGTCCATGAGAGGGCTCTGCTTGCTTTTCTGCCACAGCTCTGCTCCAACAGGGTACAGCCTACACTCCTGTCACACCGGCCCCCGAAGCCTGAGCCCGGTGAAACCGTGTGCAAAGTTGTCTGGTATCCGTAGCGCGGGGCATGCTTCTGAGGAAAGGGACCACAGCTCTTGACAGATTCCCAGAAGTGTTGGTCCCCCTCAAAAGGAAGAACCGCAATAATGAAAAAGTGACCAATTTCAGGGGACCTCTTACCCCTCCCTTAATCCGACCACAAATCAAGTATGAGTCGTTCCATGTAACATGAATCACACAACCACGTCTGTGTCACTGATAAAGGAAAGATAAGAAGGAGCTTTCAAGTAGAGCAAAAAATGAATGGGAAATGTCCACTTGACTCTTTTATATTAAGTAACATAATTATAAGCGGAAGACAGGCTGCCTGTATGAGCCAGAACACTGATGTAAGGGTCCCACCCATCCACCCACACTGAGCACACATGGTATCAGGGACCTGCCAGGCTCCGTGGATACACAGTGGAAAAAGGCAAAGTCCTTCACTTCCCAGGGCTTAGTTTGGTGCCGAAGACGTCCAAGCAAAGTAACTTTCTTAAAATAAGTCTGTGCTAACAACAGTCTTAGATGTAGTCAAGAGACAGTTCAAGAAACTGATAAAGGAGCCAGAGGAAGGAATAATTCCAAGTATATGGAACAAACCTGTTTTTTTGCCTCTTCTAGACTGGCATCAGGACAAATGACAACATCTCGGCTACACTGTACCGGGTCTCTTCCAGTCAGACCTGCAATGGTGACCTTAATCTAAGAGAAAGACATCATCACGATATTTAAGAACACTGAAACATAAATTTAGAGTAACATTTCCACAGCTGCCCTGTGTTTTAAAATAACTGGGCAGGAAATACTGCAACCAAACCATGCTGACCTTAGGCTATTAAGATGGCTAAATATATTTAATCACTAGGTCTGTCCCAGTTTGCCTGGAACAGTATGAATTAAAGATGCTGTCCCAGCACCCTGTCTGCTTAGTGTTCTTTCTTCCACAAGTGTTCTGGTTTAGGTGATAAATTATATGATCATCCTATCAATAATCCACCTGGCAAAGTTGCTGTTGCCACTTAACCCTCCTGGTATTTTCTTAAGGTAGAAATACAAGTTAAAACAACGAAATACTACTCCGCCTTGCAAAAATTTACAAAGTTGACAATACTGGAAAAAATGGGAATTTTCCTCACTGCTGGTGGGCCCACATATTAGTGCTTTGGATAGTCATTTGACAAAATCTAGTAACATCAACCATGCAACTAGCAATTCCTTTTAGGCATAGAGCCAAGAAAAACTGCTAAACCTGTGAACAATGAAACCTGTACAAGAATATTACAGTATTAGAATGCTGTGAAACAATGTAATAAAGGAATGGATAGACTGGCATATTCCTACAGTGCAATACTAAGCAGCAATTTTATTTTTTTTATTTGACCATGCCACGCGCGGCATGCGGGATCTTAGTTCCCCAACCAGCGACCGAACCCGTGCCCCCTGCAGGGGAAGCACGGAGTCCTAACCACTGGACCGCCAGGGAATTCTCTACACAGCACTTGTAAATAAACAAACTGGATCTATACTTTTACTACAACGTGGGCACTTTATTTAACTATTTTATTGTTTCTGTGCCTCAGTTCCTTCAACTGTAAAATGAGAATGGCAATAATTCATAAGGTTATAAAATTTTAAAAAGTTTACATAAGTGCTTAGAATGATACCTACCACTCAGTAAATGCTATTTAAGCATTCACTATGGTTATATATGTATATATAGGTTTATACCACAGACATGCAAAATGAGAACCACACTCTAATGCTACTTTAAAGACACGCATACGTCACTGTGAGGACAGCAGTTACCTCTGGGGCAAGAAAGGGAAAGGGATTAGGGAAATTTACAAAGAGGGCTTTGCAATGCCTTCCTCCTTTAAAGCACCTGTTCTTCAAGGCACAGGTCAGAAAGAAATATAGCAAAATGTTAACAAGTAGTAAATGTGCACAGTAGATAAACAGGTGGAATCAGTCCCTGTACTGTCGTGTCTGTTTGAAATACTTCGTAAAGTACATGGAACATTGCTTTATTCAAAATGACTTATAAAAATCCAAGTGTTTTAAAAGAGAGGAGGGCTAGAAAACTTTGGGAGACATACCCCAGCTCGTCTCATGACATCGACAGGGATGACCGTCTCCATCTCCTCTGCTCCTGTAGCCAGGATGACCAGAGCTCTTTTTGAAGCCATTTTGATGTTGGATTTTTTAAAGATGTAACTGAAAAAAAGAAAAAAAAAAAAGATTTTCGGAAAACTTTCACTGCGACTCTGTAAGAGCCAACAACTTCAATTTTAGGAACATTTTTAAGGAGGGTAACTAAGTGCCTCCTAGGGAAAAGGTTTTGATACACAAACACAACTGAACATGAAAAATGCATTTTAGATTAACACTGTTTTCACAGCATTTCAACTGATGTTTTTTGAGATGAAAACACAGTAAGGTTGCCAACACGCTGGTATTCTTTAGATTTTCTTTTATCATGTTTTTAAAAATCCAATTCCTAGTAATATATTGCAAATGTAATTTTCCAAGACACAAGTACATGGGTCTTTCATGTCACACGACGCGGGGGAAGTACAAAGTCGTCTTTTTTCAAGTACTATTTCACAGAGAAACGACTAAACTTTATTACCTGGGTGAGAAACGAAATACACTCTTTAGCAATTAGCTCCTGAGATTTTTGGAGGAGATTGTTTTTTTAGTTCCAGTAACTGCACTAAAAATTCGGGGGAGGTTAACAATGTTAAGTATTTGAACACACTTTTTTTTTTTAATAACGGAGAAAAATGGTAATTCCCCCTCACTACGCTCAATGCAGCTAGATTCTCTCTTTGCACTTAGCAAACGCCATTGTAAACGACGGCTGCTAAGCCAGGGTCTGAATAGTTTTTAGCCTGTTCTTTTTCCGCAGAGTTCGTCTTCCGTGAACTGATCTTGGGAAAACGATGCTAACACACACAGGTTTAACTAGCTCCCGGCTGGTGGGACGCTATGCACGCAAATTCCGGCAGCTTTAGCGTTGCTACTACGCTGGCGGCCTAACGGCGTCCTCTGCTTATGTCAGAAGGCCGCCCACTCCTCAAACGCTGCGAGACGCCGGCCAGGTCCGCGCCGCCTCCGGGACCCCCCGAGGGTCCAGCGGGCAGCCTGCGCGCCCGCGGCGCCACGGCCTGCGCACACGCCGGGTTCCCCAAGACCCCGACCTGAACCTCGCCTCTTCCCAGGGACGCGGAGACTTGGCCCGTTCCAGCGGCACCTCTAACCGGAGGACGACAGAGCCAGAATGAAACTAACCCAGGACGCACGCAGGCACGCAAAACAGCACACACGCGCGGCGCCACGCTCCGGGCTCAGCCCCTCATTGCGCAGACGCGCGCCGTCCGGCTTCTCATTGCCCCTCACTGCGCAGACGCGCGCCGTCCGGCCCGGCTGCTCAGCCTCGCACTGCGCAGACGCACGTCGCTCGCATCACGTTGCGTCACATCCGGCGGAACCCACCCTGGAGAACGGGTGGGAGCTGCCTACCCTTCTGCGTGGAGAGCGTGCGCCTGGGACTGATTCCATTTGGAACAACCGGCATCGCGGGAAGCCTGTGGACTCACGTATCCTGCCGAAATCTTCCACATCCGAGGCACGGTCCGGCGTGCCCCCGGCTCACGCTGAATTTAACCCGTTTTTTTCTTTTCCCGCAGCCCATACGTTTTTTGTTGTGCCGGTCTGGAGAGTGCGTCGGCTTCCTTTAAATACTCATTTTCACAAAATATCAGTAGAATTGTTCCTTTCACGCATCTGTGCACTTAGGGCTCCCTCTGCATTGTTCCTGTTTCCTGGAGCGCCTTCCCTCGTCGCCCCCGCTATATTAGGACTCTTCAGGGTCTCCCTGCGCTCTGTCACCCGATCGCCTGTGACTAATTTGGTTACGGGGGCTAATTTCAGGTGTATTCGTTTCCCAAAATAGTATTTTTTAAAGATTCCAAAGCTGCTTCTGCATCCACAGAATTAGGGAGGGAGCTGAGCACGTAACATCAGGCACGTCTAAGTGTACTTAAAAGCTATTGTAGGGCTTCCCTGGTGGCGCAGTGGTTGAGAGTCCGTTTGCCAATATAGGGGACACGGGTTCGTGCCTCGGTCCGTGAAGATCCCACATGCCACGGAGCGGCTGGGCCCGTGGGCCATGGCCGCTGAGCCTGCGCGTAAAAAAAAAAAAAAGAGATACTGCAGGTCGGGTCCCACACCACCACAGTGAAGCGAGACGCTCGAGTATTTTGGTGTTCCAGTGCAAATAAAAGTTATATTAACACTATACTGTAGTCTGTTAAGTGCGCAATAGCGTTACGTCCAAAAAGAGTATATGCTTTTTTTTTTTTTAATATTCCTAAAAAATGCTAACCATGGAGTCCTAATCTTTTTGCTGATGAAAGGGTTTTGCTGGTGGAGCCTGGGATGTGGATGGCTGCTGACTGAATAGGGTGATGCTTGCTGAAGGTTGGGGGCGGCTGTAGCAATTTCTTAAACTAAAACAATGAAAATATATCAACTGACTCTTCTTTTCATAAAGGATTTCTCTACAGCATGCAGTGCTGTTTGGTAGCATTTTACCAAATGCTTTAGAACTTTTTAAGATTGGAGTCAGCCCTCTCAAGTCCTGCCACTGCTTTGGCGGGTAAGTTGATGTCATATTCTAAATCGTTTGTTGTCATTTCAATCATTTCAGAGCATCTTCACCATTTGTAGATTCCAGCTCAAGAAACCACTTACTTAGCGCATCCATAAGAAGTAACATCTCATCTCCTTAAGGTAGAGTTTGATCATGAAATCGCAGCAACTGAGTTACATCTTCAGGTTCCACTTTTAATTCTGGACTGGGGCATGAACCCATGTCCCCTGCATTGGCAGGTGGGCTCTCAACCACTGTGCCACAAGGGAAGCCCTGGTGGCATCTTTAGGATTCTCTATGTATAGTATCATGTCATCTGCAAAGTCACAGTGTTGCTTCTTCTTTTCTGATTTGGGTTTCTTTTATTTCTTTTTCTTCTCTGATTGCTGTCGCTAGGACTTCCAAAACTATGTTGAATAATAATGGTGAGAGTGGGCATCCTTGTCTTGTTCCTGATCTTAGAGGAAATGCTTTCAGTTTTTCACTATTGAGAATGATGTTTGCTGTGGGTTTCTCGTATATGACCTTTATTATGTTGAGGTAGGTTTCCTCTATGCCCACTTTCTGGAGAGCTTTTATCATAAACGGTTGTTGAATTTTGTCAAAAGCTTTTCTGCATCTTTTGAGATGATCGTATGGTTTTTATTCTTCCATTTGTTAATATGGTTTATCACATTGATTGATTTGCAAATATTGAAGAATCCTTGCATCCCTGGGATAAATCCCACTTGATCATAGTGTATGATCCTTTTAATCTGTTTGCTAGTATTTTGTTGAGGATTTTTGCATCTATATTCATCAGTGATATTGGTCTGTAATTTTCTTTTTTTGTAGTATCTTTGTCTGGTTTTGGTATCAGGGTGATGGTGGCCTCATAGAATGAGTTTGGGAGTGTTCCTCTGCAATTTTTTGGAAGAGTTTGAGAAGGATGGGTGTTAACTCTTCTCTAAATGTTTGATAGAATTCACCTGTGAAACATCTGGTCCTGGACTTTTGTTTGTTGGAAGATTTTTAATCACAGTTTCAAGTTCATTCCTTGTGATTGGCCTGTTCATATTTTCTATTTCTTCCTGGTTCAGCCTTGGAAAGTTATACCTTTCTAAGAATTTGTCCATTTCTCCCAGGTTGTCCATTTTATTGGCATAGAGTTGCTTGTAGTAGTCTCTTAGGATGCTCTGTATTTCTGTGGTCTCTCTTGTAACTTCTCATTTTTCATTTCTAATTTTATTGATTTGAGTCCTCTCTCTCTTTTTCTTGATGAGTCTGACTAATGGTTTATCAATTTTGTTTATCTTCTCAAAGAACCATCTTTTAGTTTTATTGATCTTTGCTATTGTTTTCTTGGTTTCTATTTCATTTATTTCTGCTCTGATCTTTATGATTTCTTTCCTTCTGCTAACTTTGGGTTTTGTTTGTTCTTCTTTCTCTAGTTCCTTTAGGTGTAAGGTTAGATTGTTTATTTGAGAGTTTTCTTGTTTCTTGAGGTAGGCTTGTATAGCTATAGACTTCCCTCTTAGAACTGCTTTTGCTGCATCCCATAGGTTTTGGATCATCGTGTTTCATTGTCATTTGACTCTAGGTAATTTTTGATTTCCTCTTTGATTTCTTCAGTGATCTCTTTGTTATTTAGTAACGTATTGTTTAGCCTCCATGTTTTGTGTTTTTTACAGTTTTTCCCTGTAATTGATTTCTAATCTCATAGCGTTGTGGTCAGAAAAGATGCTTGATATGATTTCAATTTTCTTAAATTTATTGAGGCTTGATTTGTGACCCAAGATGTGATCTATCCTGGAGAATGTTCCATGCACACTTGAGAAGAAAGTGTAATCTGCTGTTTTTGGATGGAATGTCCTATAAATATCAATTAAATCTATCTGGTCTATTGTGTCATTTAAAGCTTCTGTTTCCTTATTTATTTTCATTTTGGATGATCTGTCCATTGGTGTAAGTGAGGTGTTAAAGTCCCCCACTATTATTGTGTTACTGTCTATTTCCTCTTTTACAGCTCTTAGCAGTTGCCTATGTATTTAGCTGCTCCTATGTTGGGTGCATATATATGTATAATTGATATATTTTCTCCTTGGATTGATCCCTTGATCATTATGTAGTGTCCTTCCTTGTCTCTTGTAAGATTCTTTATTTTAAAGTCTATTTTATCTGATATGAGTATTGCTACTCCAGCTTTCTTTGGATTTCCATTTGCATGGAATATCTTTTTCCATCCCCTCACTTTCAGTCTGCATGTGTCCCTAGGTCTGAAGTGGGTCTCTTGTAGACAGCGTATAGATGGGTCTTGCTTTTGTATCCATTCAACAATCCTGTGTCTTTTGGTTGGAGCATTTAATCCATTCACATTTAAGGTAATTATCGATATGTATGTTCCTATGACCATTTTCTTAAATGTTTTGGGTTTGTTTTTGTAGGTCCCGTTCTCTTGTGTTTCCCACTTAGAGAAGTTCCTTTAGCATTTGTTGTAGAGCTGGTTTGGTGGTGCTCAATTCTCGTAGCTTTTGCTTATCTGTAAAGCTTTTGATTTCTCCATCAAATCTGAATGAGATCCTTGCCTGGTAGAGTAATCTTGGTTGTTGGTTCTTCCCTTTCATCCCTTTAAGTATATCATGCCACTCCCTTCTGGCTTGTAGAGTTTCTGCTGAGAAATCAGCTGTTAATCTTATGGGAGTTCCCTTGTATGTTATTTGTCATTTTTCCCTTGCTGCTTTCAATTGTTTTTCTTTGTCTTTAATTTTTGCCAGTTTGATTACTGTGTGTCTCAGTGTGTTTCTCATTGGGTTTATCCTGTATGGGACTCTGTACTTCCTGGCCTTGGGTAGCTATTTCCTTTCTCATGTTAGGGAAGTTTTTGACTATAATCTCTTGAAATATTTTCTCTGATCCTTTCTCTCTCTCTTCTCCTTCTGGGACCCCTATAATGCAAATGTTTTTGCGTTTAACGTTGTCCCAGAAGTCTCTTAGGCTGTCTTCATTTGTTTTCATTCTATTTTCTTTATTCTGTTCCACAGCAGTGAATTCCACCAGTCTGTCTTCTAGGTCACTTATCCGTTCTTCTGCCTCAGTTATTCTGCTATTGATTCCTTCTAGTGTATTTTTCATTTCAGTTATTGTATTGTTCATCTCTGTTTGTTTGTTCTTTAATTCTTCTATGTCTTTGTTAAACATTTCTTGCATCTTCTTGATCTTTGCCTCCATTCTTTTTCCGAGGTCCTGGATCATCTTCACTATCATTATTCTGAATTCTTTTTCTAGAAGTTTGCCTATCTCCACTTCATTTAGTTGTTTTTCTGGGGTTATCTTGTTCCTTCATCTGGTACATAGTCCTCTGCCTTTTCATTTTTTCTATCTTTCTCTGATTGGGGTTTTTGTTCCACAGGTTGCAGGACTGTAGTTCTTCTTGCTTCTGCTGTCTGCCCTCTGGTGGATGAGGCTATCTAAGAGGCTTGTGTAAGTTTCCTGATGGGAGGGACTGGTGGTTGGTAGAGCTGACTGCTGCTCTGGTGGGCAGCACTCAATAAAACTTTAATCCGCTTGACTG